TCACACACCTACTCCTCCCCGACTACACAAACCCTCAGGCTCCACACACCCCCAGCATGCATTCACCTATATGTACATGTGTTTTGTTTGTGTTCTCAGCCTTTGGACAGACTTGCAACCCTCTGACATACTATGGACTATATCAGACACAGCTTGGATACTGAACTTAATAGGTGCACTTCTGGAACCCTGGACATCAGGAGCATGTGCATTTATCCATCACTTGCCAAAGTTTGACCCAGCGGTCATCCTAAAGGTAAGAGAGAGGATCCTGTCTGCACAGGTTGTTCAGAGTGAGCCCAGGGTTTGCACAGTTCAATTTATTGTAGTTTATTTCAATTCATCTAATTTTTGCGAAACCCTGGCCACATGTGTAAACTGTTCAGTAAGCAACATGGAAACAGTCCCTGACCTCATGGAGCTCATGGTCCAGGGAAGGAGAGGGACACGTATACAGATAAAAGGAGTATGTTCAGGAGACAGACATGTGGATCATTTGTTCACCAAACACATTAAATGAGCTCTTCCTCTGGGGTCAGATATCAGATAGATGGTGGTGAACCACATATAAAATAGAGGGATGGAATAGTGGGGGCAATGTCATCTCCCTCCTGTGTGTTTGTGTGTGTGTGTGTGCATTGTATTTCCTTTTTTATTTGCAGTATAACACACATACTGAAGGTAGAGTGCATAGAGTGCTGTCATTGAAAGTTTAAAGTTTGAAAGATAATTTATCTACATCAGATACTGTCTTGAAGTCATCCTGGGCTGCTACAATAAAATACTGTAGTCTGGTTGGCTTAAACAACAGACATTTACTTCTCACAGTTCTGGAAGCTGTAAGTCCAAGATCAGGATGACAGCATGATTGGATTCTTGGTGAGGGCTCTCTTCCTGGCTTGCAAATGGCTGCCTTCTTGTTAGATTCTCACATGGTTGAGAGAAACAGTGCTGGTGTCTCTTCCTCTTCTGACAAGGACACGAATGCCGTCGCTGGTGCACCCTCATTATTAGCTCATATAATTATCTCCCAAAGACCCACCTCCAAATACCAACACAGGAATTTGGGGAGGGGGACACGGCATTCAGTTCATCTCAGACACCTGTGTACTCACCACCAGAGGAAGACATGAAACATTCCCATTGCTGCAGAAGGTGCTCACACCCCTTCCCTGACAATGTCTGTACCCGAAACGTTAATCATTCTTTTGACCTCTATCACCATAGATTACTTTAACTTTTTCTTGCACTTCACGCAAGTGGAATCATGCAATATGTAATATTTTGTGTCTGGCTTCTTTCACTCGACATATTCTCTGCGAGATTAGTCCTTATGTTGCATGTATCATAAATTTGTTCTTTTAAATTGCTGTATCGTATTCCATTCTGCAAATCTACTACAATTTCTTTTCCTATCCTGTTGTCGATGAACATTTGGATTATTTTCAGTTTGGGATTTATTATCTAAGTGGAATTCTGCAGCATAAATGGGATGTTTTTCCTACAGAACTTGATGGAGCAGACACTAAGTGAAACCCACAAACTACAGTTATTCATTACCCTGGAGCAATGAAGCAATGAGAATGACCTCATTTTCTTGCACAGATACAGCCTATGTTGGACTCTAATTATGATGAGAGGTTGGGTCATTGCCATGCTGGGCTTCCAGATCTCTGTAGCAGTTGAGCGACCACCCAGACATCTGTTTGGCTACAACGGAGGTCCCCAGGGGTGAACTAAAGCATGGATGACATCTTCGAAAATCAAAAAGTCAGGCGTGATCTCAATCCTTTCAGATTCTCTTCAAATGATACTGTTGTTCTCTGTTTTAAACAAATTCTTACTCTGCCTCATTCTCAAAGGGATTTTAACTGGCTTTTGTTAACAAAACAAAGCATGAAAACTGATGTACAGTTATGAAGCCCATTAGGAAAATAGAGATTGGACGTGTAGGGAGGAAAAGGCTGAGGAGAGTAAGAAGTGTAGCAAATAAGTCAGTAATTGCAAGTTGAGCTTCCTCTAAGGCAAAGCAATAAGGAATATGGGATGATTTTCCTAGCTTATATCAGTTCATCAGTGCATTTGAAGGAAATGATTGCATAATATTCTCACTTTAATCATTTTTTCCTAGACATTTTGCTTAAATGACTGCTATGGTTTGAATATTTCTCCCCTCCAAAATTCATGTTGAAGCTTCATTCCAATGTGCCAGTATTAAGAGATGGGGTCTTTAAGAGGTGATTAGGCCCCCCAAGGGATTAATGAGTTAATAGATTAGTGGGTTGTCACAGAGAGTGGGTCTATTATAAAAAGCCAGTTTGGCCATCCCTCCTGCGCCCCTCACCATATGATGTCCTGCCCCTCCTCGGGACTCTGCAGAGAGGCCCCAACAGTGAGAAGGTCCCCGTGAGAGGCAGCTCCTTGACCTTGGGCTTTCCAGCCTCCAGAACTGTAAGCAATGACTTTCTTTTCTTTATAAATTACCCAGTCTCAGGTGTTCAGTTACAGCAACGGAAAACAGACTAAAGCAACACTCTATTAAATTCTGCACAAGGCCAGGCACGGTGGCTCACACCTGTAATCCTAGCACTCTGGGAGGCCAAGGCAGGAGGATTGCTTGAGGTCAGGAGTTCGAGACCAGCCTGAGCAAGAGCGAGACCCTGTCTCTACTAAAAATAGAAAAAATTAGCCAGGTGTAGTGGCACACATCTGTAGTCCCAGCTACTTGGGAGGCTGAGGCAGCAGGATCGCTTGAGCCCAGGAGTTTGAGGTTGCTGTGAGCTAGGCTGATGCCAGGTACTCTAGCCTAGACAACAGAGTGAGACTCTGTCTTGAAAAATAAATACATGAAAAATAAAATAAATAAATTCTGCACAAAGCAAAGCATGAGACAGAGATGGTATCACATAACAGTTAAGAGGGCATGCTGCAAATACTGGTTCCACTACATGCTGCCCCTGTGACCTCGGGCAAGTTACTTAACCCTATGAGTTGTGGTTTCCCCCTCTTCATAATGGGGATGATAGTACCCATTCCATGAGGTTATTGTGAAAAATAAATGAGATAGCAAAGGTCACGGCAAATATTCACTACCACATCTTTTTGTAAACTTTCTTTTGAAATGCTGGGTGCTTTTAACTTTTCAAAGAACTTTTTCACCTGAGTTACATCCCAAAAATACTTTCAAGAAAATAGGGCTGGAAATAACGTACTCTAAAGCTGGTTCTAGAAGGTCAGGGGCCTTAACTAAGATCACATAGCTGATTTGCAGCAGCGACTGATCTCTAGTTGATGATTGGTGGTTTATGTGCTTCTAAAGTTGTGTTAATGAGGGCAAGTCTTAAATTGGCAGCAATAGGCAGCCAGGATTTGACAAAAATATTCCAAATTAGTACTAGAATTTGGATATTATGATACGTATTTATTTCTCAGTTATTTGTGTCTTGAGGGTACATGAGAATTGTGGGGCTCATTTAGCCTGAAACAGACACAGCAGACAAGCTAGCATTGCAGAGGAATCCAGACCTCTACAACTCCATAGACCGTAATCGTAACCACCGTGCATACCAGTAAGTGTGGCATCTGACCTGGCGACTAGCGTCACAGCTGCCTCTCTTCCTGCAGGTGCTATCCAGCTACCCAGTCAACAACCTAATAGGTGCCCCCATAGTTTTCCGGATGTTGCTGCAACAGGACCTTTCCAGGTGATGGGGCTTTGGGGGGTTGGTAACAGCCTCTGGGCCCATCCCCCTGCCTTGCCCACATACACACATGCCCAACCATCCGACTCTCTGACATGGGTAGCCCCAAGAAGCTAGCCCATCATCAAAGCACCCAGAACCCAGCAGGCCTGGGAGGACTTTTGTTCCAGGAAAGCTGAGGAAGAACACTTGTCTCTCGTCTTCAGTTACAAGTTCCCACACCTAAAGCACTGCTTCAGTGGAGGGGAGAGCGTTCTTCCAGAAATTCTGGAGAATTGGAAGGCCACGACGGGACTGGACATCAGAGAATTCTATGGCCAGACAGAAACGGTACCTGTTCCCAAGGGAACACCATGGCTGGGTGCACCTTTTGGGCTTCAGAAGTTTCCTTGACAAAAAAAAATATTAGCCACCATTTATAACTTGAGAAATATTTCTTTAGCACCTACGATGGGACAGGCACTAGGTATTGAAAATTCAGCAGAGAACAAAACAGGTCAAGCTCTTGCTTTCTGGAGATTGCATTCTAGTGGGAGGTGGGAAGACGGAGAGTAAACTAAGAAATATCTGACATGGCAGGTGGTGAGAAATGCCACGGAAAATGCAAAGCAGGTGAGATGAGATGAGGTGTGGATAAGTCAGACATGATGGTCAGAAAAATCCTCTGTAATGGAGAAACAGAGTTTATCAAACATGTACTTACTGCTCAGATTGAAGCAAGCGATGGAGAGAGGAACCCACTAAGGCCCCACTGCACCTGATGAGGTATCATCTTGGAGGCCTTGGCGTCTCATGTGCATAATATGGATTCACATTGTTCTATATGATGCTGCTTGTCAAAACAACATGGGGAATACTTTTCCCTCGGTGATCTCTGTCCTTTTCCCAGGGCTTCTTATTGCGACCCTCAGCGCCTCTTGCCTCTTCCTCTCCACTCTCTTACCCTACATCCTTCTGTGGCTAATGGATCTCCCCAGCAGAACTCCTGCAGAGGGCTCCTGGCAGCCCTGTGCTGTGGAATGGTCAGGAAGAGCTTTATGAATGTGGAGGAGGACAAGGGAGTTGTGGCAAACATATCCTGGCAAAGGCTTCCAGCCAACCAGAGGAGGACGTGGTTAGGGCAGGCTTCTCAGGACGCCAGCATCTCAGTTGGGAGGGTTCATTTCAGAATCCAAGCAGAACTGGTCCTACCATGGGAGATAATTTTGAGAAACATCTTTTACGGCGCATAGATTGCAGATTGGTAATTCCAAATGGTTTGAAAAGGGGTTTTGGTATATCCGTAATCTCTTATTAAAGGGAGGCTCCCCCTAAAGAGATTATAATGTGGTCCTTAGTCTCTCCTCCCTAGGGAGCAGCCACTCAGGTTGCTTTCTGAACAATTTATGACACCCCTAGGATTGCAGTCCCAGTTAAGGGGAGTGAACAAGGGGAAGGGGAGGGAGGGAACCACCAAATGGGAGCCAACTTCGGGTCAGTGTTAGAGCCTGCTCTGCTCAATCCTTTTTATTTTTTTTTTCCTTCTGTGACCTTGTGTCTCCTTCTGAGGTTTGCCAATTATCTGCTGTTTTCCACAGGTGCTCACTTGCAGAGTCTCCACGACAATGAAAATCAAACCAGGCTGCATGGGAACACCTATTCCCAATTACGATATGCAGGTTTGCTACAGGCACTAGGGAGGGAGGGAAAATAGGAAAACTACTAGTTTTTCAGTAATTTATTTATTGCATTGTTCATTGAGTTAAAAACATTGATAGAAAGTAAAGATATTAAGATCATCTAAAAAAGAGGGAGGGGAGGGGGGAAGAGAGACAGAAGAAAATGGGAAATAATTTATATTCTTATCATCCGGAGAAATCCACCTTTTAGAAATCCACCTAGCACATTAGCGAGACGGCTTAAAAAACAGAAATAGGGATGAATCATGACGTAACATTTTGTAACTTGCCTTTATCATTTGACAGTCTTGGGCAACCATCATTCCAGGTCGGTAAATACCAGTCTACAGCATGATTTCTATGGGTCAATAGCAGTCGATGGTACGGACTCACCTCTTTATGGCTTTTTTGGCCCAATGAATGATGACTGAATTTTCACCAGTAAAAGCAACACCCTAATGATACGTCGTACCTTAAGTTTTGCTCCTTTCTTTTATTATATTTGGGCTCAATTCCAAGAACTAGAATTTGTATTTGTGATTCTATGGTTATATGTGTAAGTCTGTGTATCTAAAGTGTAACAACAATTTATACTCTATTCAGTATTCTGTGCAACTACCTGCCACTCCACCCACTATGATAACCACTTACTGAGCCCCGTTTTTAGTATCTTATTTTATCCATGTAAAAATCCTCAGACATAAGCTATCGGTTTCTCTGGTGTACAGATTTTCATGTGCGTTGAGGCAGAGAGCTTAAGTCATTCAAAGTCAGCTAATAAGGTGACAGAGTCATGATTTGAGTTTTGATTGGTCTGATTTTTAAGTCCGCAGGTGAAGTAACCCTCAGAGATCATGCGAGGCTATTATTTTTCGTGAGTTCCTAGAGCCAAAAGCAGCATCCCAAGCTCATCTGGCCCAGCCTCAATAAAAGGCTTCACCTAAACTGTCCCAGGCAGGTGGATCAGAGATCTGAGTTTAATACTCTTGGCTTGCCTTGGTTTCTAGTTGCCATTTTCAGTCCCCACTAGAGCGAAAAAGTCATTCATTTGACCACCTTCACTCTTTTATGCTGCCATTCAAGCCATCTGCTGCTATGTGGATCATTCTCGCAATCTTCTTCTTCCTCCAGGTCATAGACAATGAGGGCAATGTCCTGCCCCCTGGCACAGAAGGAGACCTAGGCATCAGGGTCAAACCCATCAAACCTGTAGGCATCTTCTCTGGCTATGTGGTGAGGAACCTGTGTTATCCTCCTCTGTTGCCCTATGGGGACAGGGAGCACTAAATGGGATGATGGAGGCCCAAAGTTATGTACCTCCCAAGAGGCATTGGCAAGATTTGGGAAGAGAGTGTCCAGTGACCAAGAATGGGTGCTTTGCAAAAGAGAAAAAGACTGTCTATTCACCCTTATCATGCTCAGCCTATCACGACAATCTCACTGGAAGTCTTATCTTTCTCCAGTTAGCCCTTACACCCCTAAGAGCCCTGTGGTCCATGCCAGAAATCTTATCGTCCTTAAAGTATAGACAGCAGCCTTCTCCCAAAGACAGCACAACTCCCCCCAAGTATTGTCCCCATGCTGTATGCCATTGATCTCCGTTAGAGCCATGGGGGGCACTTTGAGACTTTACTATATAGTTGGAGGCATCCCTATCTTCAGACCTTGGGAAGGCAGAGAGAGATCATCTTTGTGTCCAGCCACCTCACTTAACAGGTGAGGGAGGATGGTGGACCAGAGATTACAAGACTCACTCAAGCCCACAACTGTTGGAAAATAGGTAGAGAAGACCCCAAACACATGCCTTCTGAACTCTGAGGGAATTAATTAATAAACTAACTGTTATAAATAACAAATCTAATAATAGTAGTTGCTACCATTTATTGAATGCATACGAGGCAAGCACTGTGCTAAAGCACCTTGCATACTCTAAACTCATGTAGTCCTCCCAGCCACCCTATAAAGTCTTTGGAAACAGCTTGCTGGAATTCAAATCCCTGCTCTACCATTTCACTGTATGATCTTGGGAAGGTTGCCAATCTCTCATGCCTCAGTTTTCTCACCTATAAGTTGTGTATCACGGTATCTCATGGCATTATTATGGGTATGTAAAATGGGACATACCCAATTTCACCCTGACAATTGTGAAACACTTAGAAGCTTGCTACATAACATGGTGTTAAATAAGAGAATTGATGTAGATACAAATTATCATTCCCATTATACAAATGAGGAAAACTGAGCCTCAGAGAAAGGGCACAGCCACACTCTGCCCTTCTCCAAGAATTTCCCCTGCACTTCCCCACTGTAGTCACACATGCCAGCAAGGTGGCTAAAGCGTGGGCTTCTCCTCATTTGACACACGAGGAAACAGACTCAGAGGAGTTGGCAGATTTACTTAAGGCCACAGAGTTAGTGCAGCTGCCCAGCGACTGTGAGAAAGTCAATCTAATGGTCAAGAAATTTGGCTTCTGGCCTCTGCTCTACCATCTGTAATGGCTGTTTGGCTGCACACAAACCTCTCGATCTCTGTGATCTTCAATACTCCTGTATCCTCAATGAAAGAGCCAGGCTAAGAATTCTTTATGCCAGCTTCTAACCCAGTAACTGAAGACCCAATCTGGAGCACACACCGCCATTCCTAAGTAAGGCATGAAGATGCACTGGCAAAGGGTAAAAGCCTTCTCATTTCTCATAAGCAAGTGCCTCAGCACTTGAATAGAGGGGCCCTTGAATAGAGGGGCCCAGTGACTGTAGAAATATGCACATTGGCTGGGGCCCTGGGACTTCTTGCTATGTCTCTAGAACTTTCAAATCTAATCAAGGAGCCAAGAAAAGTGCCTAATCCAACTCATAGCCTTGAGCAGTGTCATGGAGTGAGCAGGGATTAGGCTGTCTGTGGAAGGAAGATGGAATCAGCTGGGGGAAATGCCCTAGAGCAGTGGTCCCCAGCCTTCTTGGCACCAGGGACTGGTTTCATGGAAGGCAATTTTTCCATGGATGGGGGCGGTGGGGATAGGCAGAGTTCAGGCGGTGATGCGAGTGATGGGGAGCAGCTGTAAGCACAGAGGAAGCTTCCCTTGCTCGCCCACCACTCACTTCCTGCTGTGCAGCCCAGTTCCTAAGTTCCTAAGTTTCATGGAAGACAATTTTTCCACGGACTTGGGTAGGGGGCTGCGTCGGGGGGAAGCAGAACTCAGGCAGTGATGCGCAGCCGGTTCCTAACTGGCCACAGACCAGTACCAAGCCATGGCTCAGCAGCTGGGGACTGCAGCCCTAGAGCATGAATGAAAAAATACATCAGTATTATGCATCAGCCTTGACCCAGGGGAATAGCTGAGAGATCCTGGGTGGACTAACTGAAATAAAAGGGGAAGATCCAGTTCAACCTGGGGTCTGGGGTTTTCAGGTTCAAGGCAGGTCCACCATGTGCAGTTGTTCAAGTTGTAAAATGCACACCTGCACATATTTTCATAGCAACACTGGGGCAGGGAGATTTTGGCTTGGCAGGTGCAATGACTCTGTCTTCCTGTGGTCACCAGAACGATCCCCAGAAGGTAGCAGACAACATCCGAGGAGATTTTTGGCTCTTGGGAGACCGAGGAATCAAGGATGAAGATGGCTATTTCCAGTTCATGGGGCGGGCAGATGATATCATTAATGCCAGTGGGTGAGCTTGGTGTCTGGGCTGGGAAGGGTAATCTGGATCTTTATTCTGGCTGGTTCCAGGCTTTGGGGATGGCCCAGAGGTTGGGTGTCCAGACTTCTCTGAAGTACAGGTTCTTCTGCAGGTACCGGATTGGGCCCTCAGAGGTGGAGAATGCACTGATGGAGCACCCTGCTGTGGTTGAGACGGCTGTAGTCAGCAGCCCAGATCCTGTCCGAGGAGAGGTGATGAGGGAGCAGCCACCTGGGAGTGTGTGGACATGACGCACACAGGCAGTGTAGGGTAGCCATTAGGAACATGGACTCTGGAGCTGAGCAGCCCGGGCGCCAAATCCTGGCCCTGCTGCTTACTAGCTATGTAAGCTACCTAGCCTCTACATTCCTAGCCCCTACATACCTAGCCTTGGGCAAGCTACCTAGCCTCTACATTCCTCAGTTTCCCCATCTGTAAGGTGAGAGATTGTTATGAGAATTCAATGTGTTAATATTTGTCAAGTGCTTGGAACAAGGCCTAGCACATAGTCAGCACCATATAGGAGCCATTATTATGGGGCTGGAGGGATTCCATCTTTTAGAATCTGATTCCTGACCAGGAGAACAGAGGAGGGATTTGAGCAAAGAGAAAGAGCCCCTGAGACATGGGGTTCACTATGAAAATAAGGGGAATAAAAAAGATCCCTGTAATGACAGGGTTATAGGAATAGACCCAGATGGAGTCTAACGGAGTCTAACGGTATGTATGTAGGAAAGGGTTAAGGTGGGAGGTGTGGATCAATGGCCTACTACATTTCTGCAGGGTGCAAGTTTGGCAATATGGTACCTCTAGCAGGTATGGAGCACAACATACAGGAAATCGTGGGAGCCACTGGGCAAATAAGGCCAATAGGGGATTCTCTACTGAGAAAACCCCCTGTGCCTAAGTCTGAACGAGGCCCTGCTGTATAGATTTCATTTTTTTCCCCATTAATTAGATATGACCATTTTATCCCCACTTTACATATGGGTAAACTGAAGTTTGGAGAGGTTAAATCATTTAGGATTATGATCCCCAGTTTTTATTTTCCTCTTCTCTCTCTGTGTCTACTTTCTCCTCATCAGTCTATATTATCCCTGGGGTATGCAGTGAGGCTGGTCTCAACCTAATGTCCTACCTACTCATCCAGTAAACCACTTGATAGAGAGGTGGAACCTCAGCCATTCTTATCCCCAGTTTCTCTCTTTCCCTTGACCTGGATGTTGGGAGGTGCAATTGAGGAGATATCAAGGTGGTGGCTGTGGTAGAAGTCTTAACACTGATTTCGCATTGTCCCGGGAGATGACTATGTACTCTAATCCCTTCTCTCTTGGCCCTCATGCTTGCTACAGGTGGTAAAGGCATTTGTGGTCCTGGCCCCAGAGTTCCTGTCCCATGACAGGGACCAGCTCACCAAGGAGCTGCAGCAGCACGTGAAGTCAGTGACAGCCCCATACAAGTACCCAAGGAAGGTAAGCCTCTTGGGCTCCCGCATCCCCCAAACGTGGTGAAGAAGAGATCTCCTCTTATAATTGTCTTCTTCAGGATGAGGATGAGGCCTCTAATTGCAATTTTTTCCTAATTATGACCAAGAAAGCCCAAAAAGACAATCCAGCAGCCAATCTTGATGTGCGAAAAATGACCTCAGTCTTTGACTCTGAATTAAAAGTCAAGTGCTTCCAAGGAAACGAGTTCTAGCCAATACCTGGCCTATAGCTCCACTCTCTGAACTGGGATCTTGCTATAACATTCAGGATTCTGCAACTCTCGGTTGCAAGTGACAGAGATCTAACTTGAAATGTATTGCTCATGCAATTGCAAAGTCCAGGGGTAGGAAAAGCTTTCATCATAGCTAGTCCCAGGCATTCATATGATGAGGCCAGGAATGTCTCTTTCACCTCTGACTCTCCCTCTTTTCTATTGACTTCATTTCTTGAAAGCCTTTCTCTTTGTAGCCCCATCAGCTGCAAACATACATTCTTAGCAGCTTAGCAAACTCCCGTAGAAAAAGAGCATGTTTTTCCCAAAAGGCCTCAGCAAAAGTCTCTGGGTTGATTCTCATTGGACCAATGTAGGCCATGCGCCCACTGCTAAACCAATCCCTGTAACCAGGGGGGAAAAGTCCTCTGATTGGCCAGTTCTGGGTCATGTGGTCATCCTTGGTTAAAATGCAGGAAAGATGGCAGAGAGAAGACTGCCCTGTACCATGACATGGATGGAGTGAGAGAGGGGTGGCTCCCCACAGGAAAATGGAACTGCTCTTACCAGAAAAAACAAAAAGCCTAGAATCCATTACACCTGCTCTCAACCTCATTGTGGTCATGGATGATCTACACTGGATTGATTTTTCCCAACAGATGGAGTTTGTCTCGGACCTTCCCAAGACCATCACAGGGAAAATTGAGCGAGCCAAGCTTCGAAAGAAGGAGTGGAAGATGTCTGGGCAAGACCAGGCCCAGTGAGGCTTCTGGGGGCTCTCGTTTGGGCTTTCTTCTTCTCTCCCTTTCTCTTTCCTTTTGAGGCCCTGGCCTTCCTGCGAGGATATAAGATTCTTTGTGAAAAGGCATACATGTAATTTTTGTCTTTCTTTGGTTATTAGCACAAAACGTGGCCATGTTCGATGTGAAAGAAGAAAGAGAGGAAGGGAATGACAAAGAGAAAAGGGGAGGGGGACAGAAAGAGGAAAGACATAAGTCAGAGAAAGATTGAAACAGCAAGGGAAAGCAAGCGAAAAAGAAACAGAGTAGGGAGGCAGGGAAAGGAGGGAAGGAGGAAGAAACAAGTGGAACAAAGGGAGGGAGAAAACATAGCAAGGAAAGAATTCCAGGGAGGATCAGAAAAAGAAAGAAAGAAAGAAGGAAGGAAGGAAAGAAAGAGAAAAAAGAAGAGGGAGGAGGGAGGAAAAGAAAGAGAGGAAGAGAGGGAGGGAGGAAGAAAGAGGAAGAAAGAAAAGACTGAGATCAATAAAAATAGTAAAAGAAGCTGATGAAGAAATGATGGGAGGCAGGAAGTATGGGAGAGATGGAGGAAAGGCAGGAAACTTGTAACTACTCCCACAGAGACAGAATGACAGTCAAGCCAAAAACTGGAGCTTAAGAAAACAATGAAAGGCTGTGGCACACCCCTTTGCCCCTGGGACAAGACCTCCATACAGGAAGACGTGTGTGGAGTCAGAACATTGCAGTCATCCCTAAGTCACCCCAAACCTTGGGGCTGTCATGTCCAGGGTAGGGGAACCACCCTTTATTGAGCATTTGCTATGTGCCAGGCACTGTCCTAGACATATTATAAAGACCGTCTTGTTTCATCTCTGTGTGGCAACTCCAGACCTCAGATCACAGCTGCAAGAACAATGTAAACACCTCAAAAGGTGTCACGTCCCCATGGCTCATGTTTTTGGTGTTATCTATTGTTCCTAGAATCAAATAATAAAATTATTTTAAAATCAAGATCCTGATAATGGTCTTTGAAGAAAAGGAAGAAAGGGAAGGATAAGATAAGTATGTGCTTCCAATAGCTTGTGAGTTGGGGAAGCCGTGGCGATAGATTGGAAAGGCAGTGGGGCTGTGGTCAGCCAGCACCTCAGTTCCTGGGGCTACTGGGACACCAGATCCGTGAGTCCAGGAGAGGGGCGGAGGTGAGGATGATCAAGGCTTCACCCACAACCCAGAAATGGAGGGCGAAACTTCCTCGCAGGTTTGAGTGAGCAGGAGAAGAAAGCAAACGTTCTCTGAGGGCCTATGATACTTCTTCTTCTTAAGAATACTTAGTAATAATAACAACAGTAACAATAATATTAATCACTCATCAAGCACTTGCCAAGAGCCAGACACTATACCAAGCAAATGCATATATTAATCCCCCTTTTTGTTCATAGTTGCCCTTGAATTCAGGCACTATTATTTTTTCCATTTTACAGAAGAGGAAACAAAGACTTGGAGAGATTAAGTGATATTCTCCAAAGCGACACAGCTGGCGGGTGACAGAGCCAGATTCTAACATAAACCTAGCTGCATACAACACCTCTGCTTTTAATTTCTTTACTCGTTTCATCAATTTGCTTGCCTTTGCTTCTGGCCCTTGACAAAGCCCTTCTCTGAGTGTGTACTTGTCAGTGTTCTCCAGAGAAATGAACCAAAAAGAGATATATATGTATGTGTGTATATATAGAGGTATGCACGCGTGTATGTGTGTGTGCACGTGCTCGCATGTGCTCCTGTCTTATGATTGGGCTGCATGCTGATAAACCCATTATATGCTGCAAATGCATTTAATATCCCAATAAACCCATCATAAAGTCAAAAAATCATAAGTCAAACCATCCTAAGTCCAGATGCTCCTCCACTTACAATGAGGTTCCATCTGAAAGATCATAAATCCAACTATCATAAGTAGGGAACCAACTATACATATATATATAAACAGAGAGAGAGAGAGACAGAGAGAAAAATTTTAGAGTAGGCCATAACTGAGAAACTCTGGATATAGAGGAAAACAAAAGTAAACAATGTTTTAGGCGGATTTCCAGTTAAAAACAATGTGAACCCCCAAGACCATGGTATTTAAGTAAACTTCATTGGTTTATGGTTAAGTAAACTTTGTTCAGTTTTGAGGACTCAGACTACGGTTTCTATGAATGTCATACTACGCAGAGACTAGATCTCATAGGCTCCTGGTACTTATTTGGGTTATATACTGATTAGCATATCCCAGGAGGACCACATAAAGGTGTCATTAGTAAGAATAGAAACTTTTGAGCAAGCAAATGAGATTTGGAAGTGAATCCCAGCTCCTTGTCTGCCACAAATGTTACCTTAATTAAGCCTTGTTGAGTGGCAAGATGTATGAAACTCTTCAGACCAGCAAAAAGTATTTTATCTCCAGGATCCAGGGATAATGTCACAGGATTGAGAGCCAGGACAATGAACCAGACCTCGTGAGGGAGTAGCCAGCAACCAGAAACCCATCAGGAGCACAGGCAGCCGCTCCATCCAGCACTATGGGAACAGATTGTCACTTGTCTATCTCTTCTTTTCCTCCTCAGCATCTGCAGCATTTGTTTTCCTTCTGAGTATCTAGACTAATGTCATAAAGTGGCCTTCCCATCTCTCTGGCCCTATCACCTTCCAGCTTCACGGTCACCCACAAAATTCCAGAGAGAATGAATTTGACCCAGCTCACGTGAGTTGCCCACACATGGCCTGATTATCGCATAGTACAAACATGGCTACAGGGGCCCAACTTTTTGGAATGGGAATAATTCTAAGAGAAGAGGGGCAAAGCACGGTATCAGATGCCTCCAAATTTGACTTCCCGTGTAGTTACAAACCAACAAGCTCTTGCAAGAACTGAGCTTCATTCGAACATTCTTTGATGCCTCTTTTCTTTTTCTTCCTAAAGTCTTTCTCTTAATGCATTTACCCTCTGCTCATTCTTTCTCATTGAAATCTTGATTAAAGGCTTAAACCTCAAGTGGACATGCCCAGAGCCTTCTCATGAGGCCTCAGCTGCTGGTCAAGGCTCTCTCCCAGTGGAAGGCATGGGAAGGATTTAAATAGTAGTGACAGGATCTGGTTTCCTAGATACTAGTTATCTGTGGGCCATGATACTTCACAGGAGGCACCTGCTAACCCTGTCTTTCTCTTAACTTATGGCCTGCTATCTTTATCCTATAGGGAAAATGTTTTTGATCATATCCCCTTACTTGCTGCGCAGCTCATGGGCTTCTTGACTTCTCCAGGCTCAGGGATGATTGATGATGGAAACCTACCACCGTTAGGGGAAATCTGCACCCTACCCACAGTATAGAATCTGCCTCCTTTCTCCCCACTCCATCCCTTCTGCACATGACTTAGACAAAACAATCGTAATAGTCAGTACCTTTCACAAAGACTGGTTTACTGTGACTACATTGAAATCACCAACTTTTGCCTTGTTCAGGATGAGACCAAGCTAGACTACCTCATCCTTCCTGCTCGTTTTCTGGTCTCTACTCATAATACCTTGTGAGTAAATCTTTGAAAACACTTAGATTCACCCACACCTAAATACACACATACATATATTACTATATTACACTGAAATGTAGCAGTTTAAAAAAAAACCAAAACATTATGTTCCCACATTCTATGGGTCAGGAATTTGGAAGGGGGATAGCAGAAATGGTTTTATTCTGCTCCAGTATGTCTAGGGCCTCTGCTGGGAGGGCTTGAAAGCTGGGGTGACCTGAGGGCCAAAGATAATGCTGTGGGTTGAACTGTGTCCCCTAAAATTCATATGTTGAAGCCCTGAGCTCCAGTGTGATGATATTTGGAGATGGGGACTTTGGAAGGTAGGATTGGATGAGGTCATGAGGGTAGGTCTCATGATGAGATTAGTGGCTTTATAAGAATAGGAAGGGAGTGAGAGAGAGCAAGAGAGCGAGACAGTGAGAGCGAGATGGTGGGAGATCATTCTCTCTTAGCTATGTGAGGATACAGTGAGAAGGCATCTATCTGCCAGCCAGGAAGGATCCCTCACCAGGAACTGAATTAGCCAGAACCTTGATCTTGGACTTCTCCTCCTCCAGTACCATGAGAAATAAATGTCTGTTGTTTAAGCCACTCTGTCAATGGTATTTTGTTATGGTAACCTGAGCTGACTAATTCAGTCAGAGATCATCTGGAGGCACCTTCGCTCATGTGGGAAGTCAGCTGGGGTTATTGGCTGGAACATCTGCAAGAGGCTTCTTCATGTGGCCAGGACTCCCTCACTGCATGGCTGCCTCACGCTTTTTACCTGGTGGTTGAACCCCACAAAGGGAATTAAGGCTAAATCACTTTTGAAGATCTACCCTCAGAAGTCAGATAATCAACCACTCACTAATGTTGGCCCAGATTCTAGGAATGGGAGACATAGATTCCACTTCTTGACAAGAGTTGTGTCAATAAATTTGTGGACATGATATAAAACTATCACAATAGTTCCCCAACATAATGACGTTCTGAGGCAACACATTCTAAATCCGCATTAAGGGGAATTTTACCCTTCTAATTCATCCTTGACATGGTCCTGCCAAAGATATATCCAGGTCACACTAACAATAGAGCAATGACCCTCTCAGTCTAAGGTGAGGTGTGCGTGCTCAAATGGCTACAGTAGCCAGGTAGGGAGAGTCAATGAGAGAAAGGCTGGCCCAATGTAATATCTCATTAGGATTTATTTTACAATCTCGAGTTACAGCCTTTTGACATTAATGAACTTTGCATACTAAATTCACAGGCATATTCCTCACTTTTATTATTAAATAACTAACTGCTCTCTCCTAATTTTTCTGAGACATAAGATCCTCTCAGTTTACTTTTAGTTTTGCGCTTTTGATAATAATGTGGTTTGAAGAAATATTTCGCTTGTTTATTAATTCTGCAGTAGGTAAAATAAGAGTGGAAAAGCTTTCCCAGACTTTCTGGGAGCAAACTGTGCCAGAAAACTCTACAAACAACTGCTAAAAGGGGTCATGCAGTCTGTGGGGGAAGCAGACCCAAGGATTCAGTCCCTCCTTCTGAATTTGTGTGCTGGGCATCCTCAGTTCTTTTCCCTCCCAGCAATCTATGCTCCGTATCCTATAGTCACTGCAGGGGACAATGCAGTCCAGCTGGCAGGAAATTGAACAGCACGTGACAGCACTTCTGACACAGGAGTTGTTTAAGTGCTTCAACATCATTCCTGCATACACAAGATATCAGTCTTCCTCCTCTGGGCAGAGAAGACAATAGACTCTAACACCGTGGGACATAGGATTCAATGTTTCAGCAACCCTCCAAAACATTAGAGAAAACTCATCCTAATAAAACTGTTTAAGATAAAGGAGGCTGTTACCAAAAACTCAGCACTTGTCCAT